GCAGATTCTTCTTTATAGTCCGCGAAGGTTTGCTAAATAGCTCGACGGCGATGAAGCTCGTACAAACTTTGCATAATTTAAATTACGAAGGGACGTAAGCAAACCAGCCCTTTTGGCGCTTCGGCTGGGACCGTATGCTGAATGTTGGGGAGGGGATGGAGTCCCCGACGGTGGACGGACCACTTCAACTCGGTCCTTAGAACCGCCACAATTTGGTGCTTACCTCAGAACTAAGCCTTAAAGAGAGGACGGGTCCGTCCCCTCTCCAAGGCTTAGTCCTGGGGTGAGCAAACCAGCCCTTCTGGCGGAGCTGCTGGACCAGCTGCACCACTTGCGTCAGTACTCTCCTATCGTACCAACCGAGTTGAAGTAAACCGTCGACCGTTGGGGACCCCATCCCCTCCCCAACATTCAGCATACGGTCCCAGCCGAAACGCCAAAAGGGCTGGTTTGCTTACCTCGCTAACCCCTTCTTTGTTGTTTCGCAATGTATCACCACCATACACCATGACGAAAGAGAAACGCGGGACTATTTTATGAGGAGCAGAAGGCTTGTAGAGCAAATTTGATGAACGTGATAAAACAAAGGATTGAAATCGAACCAAATACATTTAACCTAAATTCCAGATTCCGTCGGGTCTATTTCAGAATTTTAGACGGTGCGTTCCTGTTGCCGTAATTTGTAAATAAACTGGAGGTGTATATTTACGCTTTTTGTAATTAATGTGTTAGAAAAAAGAGGAAACAGACGGCGAAAGGCACTTATTTGCTCTGTTTCACCAAGCTGTTCACTAATTTCCAAATTAAAATTTTTCTCTCCCACTGAGTATTCATATTTTCTCGAGCACCATTTCATGAGATAAAAAGACGGGATATATTAGTAGCGCTGAGAACGGAGTTGAAGGAACCATTCCATTCTGCTTTGCGGCTCTAACAATAAGGGTCAATATCAAGTTAATGATATCTTTATTGGTAGACATAAGAACTTTGACAACGCGCTCCTTTAAAGTAACACCAGTTGGCGCCGCACGCATTGCGCGCGCAACACAGATCTGTGGCGAATTTTGATGGTGCGACGAAAAATTTCAAATTTGGCTTGATACAATACGAATATCTGAATTCTCCGCTAAATTCTATGCGCTCTTTCTTCGTCAACCATTATCCTATTTTTCTCGGTCCTCGGCCCGGACAATAAATCTCGTGGCGAACTCCGTCTACTTCGGTGCGTGCCCTGCCGACCAATAGCATTTGGCTCCCTTCTTTTCGCCGACCTCTACCCCCTTTTTCACCGGTCTCTGGGACCTCTTGGAACCAAATTACGACACTTTTGGCAAACTCCGCCCACTTAGGTGCGTGCTCTACCCAGTGATAGCAGTTGAGCTCTTTTCCCTCACCAACCTCTAACCCCGTTTTCCCCTATCTCTAGGACCTCTTGCAACCGAATTGCGATACTTTTGGCAAACTCCGCCCACTTGGGTGCGTGCTCTACCCACTAATAGCATTTGACCTCCTTTCCTTCGCCGACCTCTACGTTTCCCCTATCTCTAGGACCTCTTGCAACCGAATTGCGATACTTTTGGCAAACTCCGCCCACTTGGGTGCGTGCTCTACCCACTAATAGCATTTGACCTCCTTTCCTTCGCCGACCTCTACTCCCTTTTTCCCAGCCTCCTGGACTTCTTGGGGCCGAGTTATGAATTTTCGTCGCAAACTCCGCCCACTTTGGTCAAGCCCCGCCCACCATGGCCTTTGACCTCCACTCCTCCACCCACCTCTATCCACCTTTTTCCCCAGCCTCCGGGACTTTCTGGAGCCGAGTTATGAATTTTCGTCGCAAACTCCGCCCACTTTGGTCAAGCCCCGCCCACCGATGACAGCTGGCCTCCACTCCTCCACCCACCTCCATCCACCTTTTTCCCCAGCCTCCGGGACTTCTTGGAGCCGAGTTTGAATTTTCGTCGCAAACTCCGCCCACTTTGGTCAGGCCCCGCCCACCAATGACATTAACCTCCACTCCTCCACCCACCTCTATCCACCTTTTCCCCAGCCTCCGGAGCTTCATGGAGCCGAGTTATAAATTTTCGTCGCAAACTCCGCCCACTTTGGTCAGGCCCCGCCCACCAATGACAATTAACCTCCACTCCTCCACCCACCTCTATCCACCTTTTCCCCAGCCTCCGGAGCTTCATGGAGCCGAGTTATAAATTTTCGTCGCAAACTCCGCCCACTTTGGTCAGGCCCCGCCCACCAATGACAATTAACCTCCACTCCTCCACCCACCTCTATCCACCTTTTTCCCCAGCCTCCGGAGCTTCATGGAGCCGAGTTATAAATTTTCGTCGCAAACTCCGCCCACTTTGGTCAAGCCCCGCCCACCATTGATAGCTGGCCTCCACTCCTCCATACACCTCTATCCACCTTTTTCCGGCTCTTTAGGACTTCCCCGACCCGAATTATGAGGGCTTGTAGAAAATGCTGTACACTTCAGAGCGCGCCCCGCCCATTCTGGGCAGGCCTCCGCCCACGTCATGTATGCAGGAAACACCTTAGACATTGCTCCCTTACACCAAATTGTTTTCTGCTCTGTAGGCTTTCTCCCAACCGAGTTATGAAATTTTTCATAAAGCACTGCTTTTTTAGAGAACGCCCCGCCCACCGGGGTGGGTCTCCCTAATTCGATGTTGACTTACCAATGCACACCTTAGCCCACTTTTTGGCCCAGTTTCGAGGTCGTTTTTTCACTGAAATCGAAATCTTGGTCTTTGGTACAATTCATTTCGACGCACGCCACGCCCTCTGTGGCGGGGCTCCGCTTAGCTGATGTGTGTTTTGTATTACGTGAGACCCTGCCCACCCATCCCACACTTGACCCGGTCCCTCCAGGCGGATCCCGAGGAGCTAGGGAATTTCGTGACAGACATACAGAACGACAGAGGGACAGAACGACACAGGGACAGAACGACAGACGAAGCGCTTTATAGTATGTAAGATATAAAAAGAGGGGGATCATTCACATCACGACTCCTATCATTTTTTTGCACCTTTCCAGTGCCCCCCCCCCTGCGGAGCTATCCATCTTCCACGCTAACCTCCCCTGCTGACATGATTGCGCTCGCTTCTACGCTCCATTCCAGGTTGAATCAGCCGGGACTTGTCGATCGATTGTCGTTGTCGAGTCCTACCGCTGGCCTCGAAGCGGCGAGGGGGCGAAACGGGAGAAAACCCCGGCTAATAGTGGAGGTAACACCGCCTCAATGGGCTAGCTACCCGAGGGTCGGTATATTAGCTACAACACGCACAAAGAGGGTCCGGAGCGGCGCAGATGGAAGCACGAGCTCTAAGTGCACTGGAGCAAACGGCGACCTGAAGGGACCTGCAGACAAAAACCGCCGCAGGATTTGGAGTGCACAGGAAGAAAAGCCGACGAGGCATGGGGACTGTCTACGAATTTGCACCTACAACTGTCGTACCATCGCCTCAGCGGCCGACCAAACCATCTTGATGGAGGCCAGCAAGAAGCTTCGCTTTGACGTCATCGCCCTCCAGGAAACAAAAACCAAGGAAACAGCCACAAGGAAGACCTAACGACGGCCACCTACTTGTTCTAGGAGCCAAAGTGGATGGAAGAAACGTTGGCGGCGTTGGATTCCTCGTCCACCAACGGATTGAGCGACTGGTCGACTCAACCGAGGTATTCGGCCCGCGACTGGCCATTCTCCGCCTACGCATCGACAAGCGCACCTCTATCAGCATTATTAACTGTTACGCGCCAACGTCAGCAGCAACGGATGGAGAAAAAGACACGTTTTATAAGGAGCTGGAGGAGGCTACGAAGAAGGAGCGTTCGTACTACAAGTACGTTGTTGGAGACTTCAACGCAGTCATCCACGAGGAAAAGCCGGCGACAGCGCGCATTGGACACACCGGAGATACAAACGAAAACGGAGACCGTTTGATGGACTTCCTAGAGCAATGCAACCTCTTCCACGGAAACAGCCTCTTCATGAAAAACGTGGGCCGAAGGTGGACATGGGAGAGCCCTAACGCAGCAGCTCACAGCGAAATCGACCATATTCTCACGAACAGAAAGTGGAGTTTGCTAGACGTCAGTGTGGTAGATGCATTCCGCACCGGAAGCGACCATAGACTCGTCCGGGCCAAAGTTCGCCTCCGAGCGAAACTCCGAAGACGAGACCACTATCGACCTCCACCCATACGACTGCCGCAGTACGACATAAACGCCATGGAGGCGGCCGCTGCTAACTACACATGGCAGGAGGCACAGGACTTGTCAAAGGACTACGACTTGCTTGTAGAAGGACTTCTACACTGCGCAACGGCATCGGTTGTGACAGGAAGAATGAACTCGAAGAGTAGGATCGATGACAATGCTCGTACACTCCTCCAACAACGGGCTGCCGTCCACCGTAACTCTGCATCCACACCACTGGAACGTGCTACGATTAACAAAGCGTGCCGCTACGCTGTGAAGGAGTCGATTCAGCGATACAAAGACGTGGCAGAAGCGAGAACGAGCCTCAAGCGATGTCGTCGGGACGTTAGTGTCCGATCAACGACACCGGTTTCCCATATCCCTACACCAACACAAGAGGTGGCTCCGCGGATAGAAGAGTGGGAGATAGAGCACGCCTTACGTCAGATGAAGCCGAGAAAAGCACCCGGACCGGACCGCATCTCAGTGGACTTTCTGAAGTCGGCGTCCTACACTGTCATCAAGCAGCTCACCAAGCGCTATAATAAGTACCTGGACGAGCAGAAGATCCCGGACCAGTGGAAGACGTCAAATACGGTGCTTTTGTTCAAGAAAGGCGAGCGCGATCAAATGAAGAACTATCGTCCCATTGCGCTCCTCTCACAGTTGTACAAGCTGTTCACGAAGATTATTCTAAACAGACTGGAAAGACAACTGGACGACTATCAACCAGTGGAGCAGGCCGGGTTCCGCAAGGGCTTCTGTTGTATGGACCACATCCACACCGTCACGCAGCTGATCGAGCGGGCCAAAGAATACAAGTACCCACATCAACCTGTTGGAATGATGCATACGGACACATTCACCACCATCCGCTTGTTTCAACGAGAGCTACGCGTGCCGATTGAAAAAGGAGTCAGGCAAGGTGACACGATCTCTCCCAAGCTATTCACCACCGCCCTCAACCACGCGATGCTACAGCTGGACTGGGATGATAGAGGCATCGACATCGACGGCAAGAAGTTGTCTAACTTACGCTTCGCAGACGACATCGTCCTCATCAGTCAAGACCAAAAGGAACTACAGCAGATGGTGGAGGAGTTGGACGATGTCGGCAGAGCCATTGGCCTCACGATAAACCGAACAAGACAATGGTCATGCGGAACGAATGGGCAGATGCGTCACCTATCATACTCGGAGGCGCCGCACTCCCGGACACCGACTGCTATGTGTACCTCGGTCGACTCATCTCCGTGGACAACAACTTGCGCGCAGAGATCATGAGGCGCAAGAAAATGCGCAATGGGAAGCATCAAAGAGGCGGCTCAGCTCATCTCGGACAAGAAGATACGAGCTGACCTATTCGACTCTACGGTACTGCCCGCACTCTGCTACGCATCCGAGACGTGGGCAGAGAACAAGACGTCTACGATGATGTTGACTCCATTAACCGCCGGGAGCAGAGAAGCCGCAACTTGCGCAGCACAGACATGCGCTTAATGTCTGGTATCCGTGACGCCGCAGTGTATACGTGGGACGCAAAGAAACGATGGGCCGGACATGTGGTCAGACGCATGGATGATCGGTGGACCACACGCGTTACGTTCTGGTATCCACGAGACGTGAAGCGCACACTTGGCCGTCCTGCAACACGATGGAGAGACTCCCTGAAGAAACTTCAAGAAGATGCGGGCCAACACTGGGCCCAAACCGCTCAAGATCGTCAAAAATGGAGGGAAGCGTGTGCTCGCCGCTGAAGATCATCGGCCGACAACGAGCATCCAAGTATCCAAGTGAGTAAGTTCCTGCAAAATCCTTGTCGAAGATCTTCCCCTTGACATTATCATCGCACTTATCTTAATCCTTGTCGTTAGAACCGCAGAACAGGAGTGGCCCCTTCAACTCCACTTTCGCCGTTGATAACTTACCAGTTTAGCTCCGCACGCAACCGCGCGCATCACATGGTGGGCTTTAGTGAAACTGGACAACTTGCTGAATATTAGGTCACGTGGCTGAGAAACTAACAGTAAGATGTTTTGGAAGATGTGTCACATGAATTTCAAAGGTTGTCCAATTTTGCTGAAGATTGTCGCGTAATGCGCGCAGTAGCATGCGGAATGAAAATGGTACTTATCATGACTTCGTAAACATTTAGCATTGATATCGAGCTCGGGCGATTTAGCGGTTTATAGAATTCCACAATTGAAGAATCGGTGTGTAAGTGAAATATAACCAATCAATCAGCATCAACCGATGATGGAAATTGGAAATATGATTTATTCGCTATTAGTCCAAGTCCAGATAGTGGAGCAGCTCAACTTTCTTTGCTTCTTTAGATGAAAGGGTGGAAATGGAACATATTCCCGTGCTAGGAATCTGGTTCAGTTTAACCGAGTGCACACTCAATTGTCGCTATTTTTATTAGTGCACCTGCCTTTCATACCCCTTTCTGTCACCCACATTCACCGTATCTCCGTCCCATCTTGTAGCGTGTAGGAGCTAATATTTACTGTCACCACGAAGGCTACAACGAAATCAGCGGTACTCAAAATCCTAACTTCCTTATCAACCGTTATCGGTTGTTATCACTTTTGATCACCCACTATCCGTGTTCCCGTCCCATCCCCTATACCACATGTGAGAGCCAAGGTTCCAATGTCACCGCGAGGGCCGCAACGAAACTGGTGGTATCCACACTTTGACGCCCCTTATCAGTTCTTATCAGTTGCTACCACCTTCTTCCAATCACCCTTTTGGTCCCTGCCTCACCCCACATAATATTCATGAGTGCGAACATCTTAGGATCAACGCAAAGGGCGTTGCGAAACTGACGACGTTAGCATTCCGATGCCCTTATCAGCCCTTATCATTTGCTATCACTTTCCTTCGCTCACCATTTGGGTCCCAGTCCTACCCTACACAATATTCATGAGTGCTAGCAATCCACTGCCAACGCGAACGGCGTAAGGAAGTTGGTGACATCGGCATTCGCCCGTTATCAGCTTCTATCAGTACTTATCACTTTCCGCCACCCATCATCAGTGTTCACGCCCGACCCCCTATATACCCTAGAAGTTTGAGCGCTCTGGGATCAAAGGGAACGAAGTTATGAATTTCCGGTCAGACACACACACACACACAACCGCTTAGCCGGGTTGTCGGAAAAGTTCTTGCGCATTTTCTTCTTCATCTTGCAGAATCTTTTGGGATCGTTTTGAAACAGTCACTGTTGAACGCATGTGAGCGCTGGTTAATGCTCTCTCCACAGCATTTCTGTCGTAGCATTTTGCAGCGTTTGAAGCTCAAAAATCGCCTTTCACTGGAGGTATGCTCGACTGCTCCTGCCTTTATAAGCCCACAAAATGCGTCGATTGAAGCGAAGCAGTGGGATTGCTAGGTGTTGTGATGAACCTCCGAACTATCTTTCACAATATGCCAATTATTTGGTTGCTGAGTTCCAGATACTTGAGAAAAAACACAAATCTAGTCAGCCTGCCATCTTTCATTGAAGAAATATACCCAGAATGTTCTAATTGGAGAGAGCTGTTAGTGCAATGCACGGATATTGGCGGAGCTCTTCCAGTGCTACCACACCACAATGGCCGTTACTTAATATCGCCTCTAGAGGAGTGAAACTATGGCGAAAGGATTTTTTGAGACCTGACTGACAACAGGCTACTGAGACCATTAAATTTTGCAGGGACATTTTGATTTGCCGCCCGTCTATCGCTTGATCCGCCAACTTTGCTGATGGTTTCAAGAAGTGGGATCCTTAGGTAAACCGCACGCGAAAGCACGACTGGCTCGGATGCGTAGAACAAAGGATCGTCACACTCGATAGAGAACAGGTTAATTTCTTCTACCGAGGTAACATTAGAACCTCTTCAGGCTGCAAATGTTTCGCTCACGGAGAGCTGCTACCAACGAAGTCCACTGCTATTGGTGAACAATAGTGTTAGCAAGTGGATTAGTTTCCTGGCATGGTGCTCGGAAAATCGGAGAAACTCTACTTTATGTCGGCAACGCTCACCCACAAATTACGGAGATGGTTCAGGAATGGTCTCCAGGCTCGTTATAGAATGATCTGACCCACTTCGTGTGTACAGCAAACCTGGTTGAGACGGGCTGCCATACGCTTATGTTGCCGTCGAAGGTACTGAATTAAGGGCAGTTCGATGATCCGGACCTACTCGGAGTCAACCTCTTTGAGCTCTTCGTCCCAAAGACTCGAGATGTCTGAAGGGCTAGCAACCTGAAGGTGCCTGCTGAAGAGCAATGTTCCGACGATTATGGTGATGTATGTATTTAACAATTGTTGGCTGCACTAAAGAAGAAAAACAATTTTGAAAAAAAAGTTGCCAAATGCGCAAAGACTTTCCGACAACGCATAACTAGAGCAAATTGTGGCAAGACTCATCTCTCTGAGACCATTATGTATTCATGTCTGTCTTATTTTGTCTCGAATCTGTACTGCCGATATTTTTCACTGATGCTGAGGTGCTCACAGTTGAGTTAGTATTTAAAAAAAGAAGTGGGACAAAACAACATTTCTAACTAGCCGAAACCAGTGTATCAAACATCGTCGATTCATATTGAAGTTTTGAGGCTATCAGACTTCAAATCAAAACACCCTCGACTTCTATTCCACGAAAGGTAATTTAGAACAGGAAGAATTATCTCGAATTTTTTCTTCCATTTTAACCAATTCCTTTGGCCAAGGGAAGTCTGGAAGAAATCACAACAATAGCCTGGGATGCACTCGAGGTCGACTATCTCCACGCCGACTTCTCGCCCTCTCCGGAAGGATTCAATCCTTTCTCATAGCAGATAGTGGCCACCTGGAAGTGTAATGTAGTTCTGCGTTCAATAATTTCCAATAATTATTTTGTTACTTACTTCTTTTTTTGTTGTGCACATTTTTCCATGATCAGTTCATCATCTTGCAATTTGTGGCTACCCTGCACAATTATGCACAAGCTTCACCTATCTAGGCTAGAAACGAATTTCTGCCAACATGTAGAGAATTCGTGCGAACTGTTTCAATTCTATGATTGACTTTTGATCCTAGTGAGTAATGAGGAAACATACCAAACAGGCATCGATTTTGGTCCCACTTCTTTCTTCGATCCTATGTTTTAGGTATGCGTCTCTCCACGTCTTCTCCAGTTGAAGGCGCAGTGCATTAGGCACGTAGGCCTACAAGCATAAGCCGTTTTGTGACCTGGTTACTACACTGATAAAACCCTGCTTTTCTGATTTTTGAAATCAACACGCAGAAGCATCCGCCTACAAGTTATAGTTCTGCATGCAGAGTATTACCTGGGTAGCGCCTTTGAATGTTCAGAATTCTCTCAGTTATCGCTATGGGAGGCTTATTGCCATTAAAATTATTCTTTAAACACGAAAATGGCCATCTTGACAAATTGCTAAAGCAGGTTCTCATGCGCTGCTCAAATAAGATGGCTAGAGTGTTTCTTGACCAACGGGAAGGTCGAAGACCACTCTTTGGATTTGATTTGTTTGGGAATAGTGACGCTAAGGTGTAGCCACACCAACGATTCGAATTAGTGGCTCTCGAAACCAAATTTTCACCGCTGTTGACATTGTGGGTCGCCATACACTTCCGCACCTACACTGATGTGCAAAAGTTAGGGACGAGATGAATAAAGTAACTAAACCTGATGACATCTCTGCAGCCCTTTGAACGGTTTCTTTTGCTTGCATTCGGTACTGTACTGCAGTAGTTCTTTCTGTGTACGGTTAGGTTCCATCAGGTTGTCTTACTCGGCAGTAACAAATCACGGAAAATTGCGTTCGTCCTTAAGTTTTGCACACCAGTGTATTTCACATCACTTCATTATATAAACCACATCATTGGATGTGTCGGTTTGTCGGTGTGTGTGTCGTTCTGTCCCGTCCGGACCAACCGCTCACAAAACCAGGGAGTACGAAGGGCAACACTTCGTGATGTTGATGTCATGATCATGATAACACCCACAGCGGCTATATAAACACCGATCGAGCACACTCAGTCTCATTCTACATGGTGCTGCCGTGGCAGCCGGATGAGGGGGGAGAAGGGAGGGGAGGAAAAGGGAGGCAGGAAGGGGGAGGAGGGAGAGGGAGAAAGGGGGAGAAAGAGGGAGGGAAGGAAGAGAGGAGAAAGGAAGGGAAGACATGGTACTACCGTGGCAGCCGGAGGGGCAAGATGGGAATGTAAAAGAGGAGGAGGTGGGAGAGGATGCAGGGAGGGAGAACAACTGCTTTCAAGAGGAAGGGATTATCCGTGTTGACGTATTACTCTAACGTGATGTTGTGATTCTGATAACACCCACAACGGCTATATAAACACCGATCGAGCACACTCAGTCTCATTCTATGTACACAAGTGGAAGACCACAGCGGAAGACGTGAAGCTTACGCAGGGAAGCAACGTCCCGGCGGTTGACGGGGAACCAATCTGGTTTTTTGATTATTGGTCTGCTAAAATTAGGACCAATAAACATGTACCAATTTGGTCCTCCGACAACTGCCAACCCCCCCCCTTCCCTGCGTAAGCTTTGCGTTCCTCTCCTCTTCTTATCCTCCCCTCCTTCCTCCACTGCTCTCCAGCTGCCACTGCAGCACCATGTGGAATGAACGGAAGTGTGCTAAGTAGGTGTTTATATAGCCGTTGAGGTTATCACAATCATGCCTGCAAAACATTGATTGCTCAAATCCTGCGAGCTACCCAAATCGGATAGCGGCTTCTTTATTCCAGTAGCTGCCATTGTCACTCACTTCATTTTGCGGTTATACATACACCAGTTTTGCTTCGCCCGCTATCGCGCGCATGTCAACATAGCTTCTGTGAAACAGAGTATAGCCGGGCTGTTGTATTGAGTAACATACTGCTTTCAATTGATTTTACTGATGGTATTAAGGAAAGCAGATGATAAAGCAGTAATTTCTCATAGTTCGAATACCAATAAACATCCATCATTTTTCTAGAACTAACAAAGTCTAGCAGCCGAATGACCTTTGGATAACTAATACAATTACTTGGGCTGCTTATTATCAGCCCTCACCGTAAACATCTACCATGCTTGGATACTGGGATAGTTTAGCGGTCTAATAACTTCTTTTACCGGTGATGCGATAGAATTACCAATTTATCGTATTTCCACAGACACCGACCATCTTAGGAAGCTCGGGCAGATTAGCGGTCGAATGGATCACGACTACATCGCGAAAAAATGAGATGTTTTCTTATCCCACATCTGGATAAGAACTTCAGTACATTTGCTTGTATCGCTCCTTATCAGCCCCTATCAGCCGTTATCACTTTCTGGTCCCCATCAAATATGTTCCCGTCCCACCCCTATATCATATCTGCAAAGCAACGCCTCAATGCTGCTGGGCCGCGCGCTATGAATTTCGTGACATTTGCGTTCAGCGCCTCTTATCAGCCCTTATCAGTCGTTATCACTTTCTGACCCCCACCAAATATGTTCCCGTCCCACCCCCTATATCATATCTTGAAATCAACTCCTGACGACCACTGGTGCCCGAGCTATGAATTTCCGGTCAGACAGACAAACACACACACACACACACACACACGCACAACCGCTTAGCCGATTATATACAGGGGGGGGGGCAAAAAAAAAGACATTTTGCCTATGTCGGACTTCGGCTCTTTTTTCTTCGCAGAGATTGCTGTCGTTGACGGGAGTTCCTCAGCAGAGTATTCCCTAAGTGTCCCTCTATAAGTGTACGCAGGCCCTCCTTCACTGCCCTCACCGTCTTCAGAATATGACGTCATCTGTCACCGTCGTCAGGCTCAAGGAGGTCTACCGTAAGAGCTTCAGCCTGAAGCTCTTACGCAATTTCGTGAATCGATTTAATGTTGGATAGTTTTCTAGAGGCATTAGCTACCACTGTGCAAATCCCCTCGGAACTAGCTTTCCAGTAAGGGTCGTTATGGTACACGATCCTTCGAAGACCCCATTGAGCTCGACCAGTGCACCATGTTTCCAGGGCAAATTCTTCTGATGCCGTCCACGTACGTGGCCACTATGAAGATTTTCTTATAGAATGGAATGCACTCTTTAATAATAAGTTGGAACCGTTCGGTCTGAGTTGAGTAAAATGTGCTTAAATCCATCTGGAAGTGGAGGCAAAATGTCTTTTTTTTGCCCCCCCCTGTATATCAGGTGTTTCAGAGAGTTCTGTCGTTTTCAACCCCTAATTTAGCCACTTTCAGGTCTATTTAAAGCTAGAAAAAGAAAGTCATGCCAACTTGCTCATCGAGTATACCGCATTCAAAGCTTTGAAAAAGCTATAAGAAAATATTTTAGGACAAAGTTGAGCTAAGCATTGGATAGAGCTGGAAAAGCTCTTCAAAATGATATCAACATCAATTGCAGCTTTCCAGATTTCAAGGGAAATAAAGCATCCAAAAGTGGAGTGTCAGAAAACGACAGAACTTTCTGAAACACCTGATAGTAGTAGGATGTGCACGTGCCACTACAAATAGAATATGTCCACGCTCTAGGGTCGACGCGAGCTGCGTAACAGAATTGACGACTTTTGCGTTCTGACGCGCCTTATCAGCCCTTATCAGTTGCTATCGCTTCCATTCATGTACCACCAATGTCCCGGGACCACCCCACATAACTTGTAAGTATAGACGCTCTAGTACCAATATGAACGACAAAACGAAATTGGCGATGCTCGCTTTCTAGCCCCTCTTATCAGCTATTATCAGTCGTTATCAGTTCCTATCACGTACCACTTGTGTCCCCATCCCACCCCCTATAACATATGTAAGAACCACTGCGCTATCGTTACTGTGACTCGAGCTATGAATTTCCGGTCAAACACACACACACACAACAGACACACGCTAGCCGCTTATATATAGTAGGATATTAGGAATAATACACTGGTGTGCAAAACTTAAGGACCAGATAGATAAATTGTCCTAACTTATTAACAATTAGATGGAATTGGATGAAACTGTACGGGCATAATGCTAGAAGCCCTACAGTCATGGGCACCGAAGTGGGCCTCATATGTCTTGCATCCGGCTTCAATCTGGAGCCTAAATGGGGTGGCCACCCAGAACGATGGGTATCGTGGGGCAGGACAAGAGGGGTAAACTAAGCAGGGAGAAGTGACTGTGGAATGTAGTGGTGTTCTTGATTACATCAAGTCTCAGAGACAACACTAGGGTGACTTTACGCGAGGAAGAATCATTGGGAAACTGAAAAAAGGAAGTTGTGTCCAGGAGTTTTGTGTCAACCACAGCATTGTTTTTTGTGCATGAGAAGCAATGTGGACCGCAGCCACTGCTGTCCCAAGAAGAGGAGGTTGTGGGTCACGAACAACCGCAGCAGCAGGTGATTGCTAGGTTTTGCTACAGGCAAAAATGGACCCACGTCAGTCACATGCTGCAGTTGCAAAAACATTTATCAGGATTGTAAGGCATGTAATCCCAGTCCGGACAGTGGCGCAGTGACCGCCTAGGAGTGATCTCTCTCATCGATCAACAATACCTGTATTCATTTGAAATCCACGCCTCGGCTGGGACATTTGGTACGAGCCGAGACATTGGAGATGGACCACCGAATTGAAAAATCGCGTATTCTTCCCGGTCAAGAGCAAACTGAATGTGAGTAGTGATTCTGGACTTACCTGCATATGGGGAAAATAGGAACGTGTAATCTACCCAGGACCATCGTTTAACATGATTGTTTTGGTAGTGCATGCGACATGATGTGGGGAGGCATAAAGTTGTCGGGGCGTACTGATCCCCAACTCATGATCGCGTTACACTTTCTGATCAACGTGATTGTGGTGTTGTACCCTTCTGTCATGTGCATCTTTCCAAGGGTTCCCTTGCCCTCAGCTTCAATCGTATGGAGGGCAGTGTGCGAGAGTATCGAGCAGCCTGGGTGGAAAACTCTTGAAAAGTGAGGATTTTCGGTAATTGGTGAAGCCATTTATTTCCTCCAGTCTAATTCTATGGAGCACGTGTGGCGTGGATTCAGATGAGCTATTGTAGCACATGAACATGTGCCAACAATACGTCCTGCCAGGTGTCAAACCGCTATCAGGTCTCCAAGGAATTGGTCACTTCTCCTCAAGAACTCCTAACTAATCTTACGGCCTGTATGGGAACACATAGCAGAGCATACCTTGCAGTC